CTATTGACGAAAGTATAGTGGACTTTCGTCACTGGCGAAAGTGCTATTTGGCAAAAGTCTCATTGCCGAAGATCCAGAATTCCTATAAAATGAGTGAAATGGACCGATCGTAAGAAAGAAGAAAAGAGAAAAAGAAAGATGTACACATACATGAGGAATATGAATTCCTTGTTAGAATGCTTTCTTACATTTATTCGTTTTCTTTTTTTTTTTTATTACATTCCAGTTATCTTTTTCCTTTCTTTATATATATCCTTGTTCTTTATTTTCAGTTTTTACATATGTTTATGTATATATAATTGCATTTAGCTACAAATAAATTAGCAAGTATTTTAATGAAATTCATTGTACATAGAATCATTATATATTTCTACAAGTCATTATAAGGAAGAATTCAAATAATGCTGTAGTAGGATTTTATTGACTCTAAAAACTAATTACTCTTATCCTATGAGATATATGTATTAAAAACGTATATAGCCTGATAAGAAAGAATTATTGAAATCTTTTGAATCTCATCTGATATTTTTCATTCCTCAAAATTAATTAATGTCAATTAAATAAACATAGGAATGAAAAAGAGACAAACAATCCAATAAATACAAAGAAAATCTTTTATTTATATTTGTGCATATTAATCAATATTTATTTCAGGTAAATGTATGAAAATAAAAAATAAATATAGCAATATTTAATTATTTTACATTCATAGTTATCAATATTATTTTCGATACAATGCGTTGTTTTTGATCGATAAGATTCATTTCCATTTACTAGTTTATAATGATTATTACTATTATATTATTATTTGTAATAATAAAAGAATAAAACGATACACATTATTATAGTTTGAATTGAACCATCAGATCAAAATAATTTCGAATATGAAAAATAATATTGATTTGTTTTATTCATATCTTCATTTCATAATCAAAATATTGTGTCCAAAAATGATTGATATCAATAATCATAAAAAAATTGTTAAATTTTAACATTTTATATCTGGTCATTGTTATCATGTTAATCAAAAAATAATTGATAAAAATAAATTAGTGAAAAAAAAAAGAAAGAAAATTTTTATTTTTTATTAGTTTAATTTTGTTGTTGAACTAAATGATGTAAAGCATCATGATATTCTTCGAATAAATCTCTTTCATTATGTAACATATTGTCTTGTATTTCATCATGAGATATATATATGAACGAAGGCGTTCAACACGTTATAATGTTGATGATCATTCATATGTTTGTAAAATTATTTTATGATTTATCATTCTTGAAACTAAATATCGATTAAAGAAAAAAAAAATTCTTTTCTTTTCTAATATTGAACTTGAATAGCAAAATAAACAGTTAATGAAATACTTGTATGTAATGTAGCTGATATAACAATTTGAGAAAATAATAATTCAAATAGATTAAATATTTGACGAATATAAATTTTATGAAGCAAATTGAATAAATGTTCTAAATTAATCATAGACAATAATCATAAAAAACAATGGTTTTTGATTTTGATTTACTTTGTATTATCAAATTTTATGTATTTTCATAGCACAAGTGTCAACTAATACTTTGAATTATTGTTCAATTTAATTTCGATAAAGAATACATTCATTTAATGAAACAATTCAAATCTAAATAAATAAACATTTATATATGTATATAATGTTCAGTGTGTATCTATGTGTGTGTTTCTCTGTGCCGGATCAAAGGTCAAAGATTAAAGGTCAAACAAGGCTATAAGGGGAGGACGCCAAGGGCTATTATATTGGGGTGCCCATAGGTCCTCAAGCGCTATATTATGGGGGTACCCATAGGTCCTCAAAGGCTATCCTATTGGGGTACTCAAGGGGGAAACAGCTGACTTCAAGATTTCAAGAGATTTCACAAGACTTCATGGGACTTCAGAAGACTTCATGAGGCTTTCAGAGACTTCACAAAAATTTCAAGATTTCATGAGACTTCAAGACCGAAGTCCCTACTTTTTTTGCCCTTGGGGGTACTCATAGGTCCTCAAGGTCTATATTATGGGGATGCTCATAGGTCCTCAAGGTCTATATTATGGGGATGCTCATAGGTCTCATGGGGTATTATATGGAGGTACTCTCATAGGTCCACAGGAGTTATTATATGAGGGTACTCATAGGTCCTCAAGAGCTATCATATGTAGGTACTTATAGGTCCTCAATGCCTATAGGGTTGTAACGGGTAGGAGATAAGGCTACAGGAATATGAGGCTATAAGCTGGTAAGGGGATAAGAGGCTAAAGCTACAGGGACATAAGCGATAAAGCTAAAAGAGTATAAGGAGATAACAGTATAGCGGATAAGTAGATGATGTTGCATGGGATATAAGAGATAAGGGAATAAAGGAATAAGACTATAACAAGTAATACCACAAGAATATAAGGCTACAAGGGATAAGACTATGAGATCTCTCTCTATATATATATATGTATATATATAATGCGAACTGTCTGATTGTCTATTACCGAATCAACGCTAAAGGATAGATGTGAAATTTTACAGGAAAAAAAAGCATTCGTGCAGTATGCATGGACTCTCGCTAGTAAGAGAATAATTTTATCTATTAATATATTACTTATAATCGTTTGAAAAGAATCTTTCAATGAAAATTTCAGATCAAATCAGTAAAAAATCTTTATCAAATTTGAATCGAAGATCATATTTAGAAAAGAATAATTTTAAAGAGATTATTTTCCTGCACTTTGAAAAATAGAAATCGTCTTCGTTTGTGATCCATTTTATATAGATTTTATTATCTTACTACTGTTTTATAGTGTTTCATATGTTTTTCTTTACATTAACTATTTTTATTTTTGGTGTTGTTTATTTCAAAATGAGGAAATATTTTAGAACTTTTTTTTGCAGTCATTTGGTCATGTTTAAGCGAAGAAATTATGCTATTTTTTATGAATTATAATTGATTTAAGAGAGTGTTAACAGTTTTCGTTCTCTTTTCTATTGTTAACTATGTTTCATTGAATGTACTTAATCATTTCTATCTGTTTTTTTTTCTCTAAACATACATTACGTCATTTTTTTTTCTTCTTTTCTTACTATAAGATTCATTCAAAAAAGAAGTGGCGCTTTTTTCATAGGCTATACTCTCCCCGTCTCCCGCGCTCGATTTGTTTTCGTTTATTTATTTTTTGGTTGATGGCCATGTGAGGATACTAAAACACTAAATGAAACTGTGGACATTTATTGTATTAGAAAGAAACTTGACACTTTCGGAAAGAGCCATTTCTATAAAAAATATCATAAAAATGAGTAGTATTTCGAGATTTTGATTATTGAAAGTCGGCTTTCAAAAAAATAAATAAATATGATATTCGGAATCAGCATGCAAAAAATACACTAGAAATTCTAGTTTTCATTGTAAATTATTTTCATCCAAAATTTTTACCCTACTTCCCCTCAGCCTTCTATTCCTAAAATTTTGACTGATAATCCCTTACAGGTCAAAATTTCGATGAAAATAATTTACAATGAAAACTAGAATTTCTAGTGTATTTTTGCATGCTGACTTCGAATATCATATTTGTTTTTCTTGAAATTTGACTTTCAGTAACCAAAATTTCGAAATACTACTCATTTTTTATGGTATTTCTTTTTTATAGAAATGGCTATTTCCGAAAGTGCCAAGTTTATTTCAAGTGGTAACATATCTAAGCGGTTATCGTACAATCTGGTGACCAGTTCTATCACATTGATATCAAACTAATCACTGCTGTAAATAGCTATCATAGAATCTGGAGACCAGTTTTATCATGTTGATATCGGACTGATAACTCCACTAAACAGCTATTATCCAATCTGGTGACCAGTTCTATCACATCGATATTATCAAACTAATAACTGCTGTAAATAGTTATCATAGAATCTGGTGACCAGTTCTATCACATTGATATCAAACTAATAACTGCTGTAAATAGCTATCATAGAATCTAGTGACCAGTTCTATCACATTGATTTCGAACTAATAACTGCTGTAAATAGCTATCATAGAATCTGGTGATCGGTTGTATTATAGTGATATTCAAATAATAAGCGGAAAACTGCTATCTAAGAATCTGGTAACTGGATTCATTTTTGTGTGATTCAACCACACAAGTTTATAATGCATTGAACTGAATGAGACCGATTAAATAAAATGAATCTGTTACGATTCTGGCTCTATGCATTATGTTTTGAATCTGGTGACCGGAATTCACTAAAACGACGCGTGACATGTGGATAAGTTTTTTATTGCGCTTTTTGTTTGTAACACATATTGAGCTGATGATAATACTAGGATGTTATTAATGGCTGCGAAAAAATTCGAATTTTATTGGTTTGATATGTAAAAAAAGGTTATGCAGAAAATAGCATTTAATAGTGTTTTCACGAATGTTGAATGTAGAAAGAATTTGTAAGCTTGATAGTAGTTTTATACGCGTACAGTTTATGATACATATATTAGAGCAGTTGGTGATTGTCACTTAACTTGCAATAAGTATCTGTTGTAGGAGTGATAATTGTATTAAAACTACCTTCATTAGTCAGTTATTCTGTCGAAAAACATATTTAATAAGCCAAGATTAATAATAGTAGATATTTAATGATTTTAATTTTTGCTAAAGAACTGGTGACCAGTTCCAGATATTGTAAAAAATAACTGGTCACCAGTTCGTTATCAAAGAGTGAAGTCCGTCATCAATTGATAAAAAATCCCTAAATTAGAAAATCCCTAAATCAAAATCCCTAATCTGGATTAATTTTCGTTTTATTATCCACAAATGTGGATTCGATTTAGGGATGCATTCTGGGTACCAGATTTAGGGTAAAGGATAGACATTCAGAAGAAATTATTGATAAAATATTTGAAAATTTCTTTTAGATGTTTTCTTCACTAACACAAATCATATATATACATAACTAACATTTAAGAAAAATCTAGTTCGTATCGTTGTTGAAATTTATAATTTTATGTATTTATTGAACACGTTTATACCAACGTCGAGCTTTTACTGGACCACATTCCATTTTCTATTATCAGAGACAACATACATAAGATTAAAAACAAATACATATAAAAGAAAGTGACTTACAATCATTTGTTGACCACTATCATCAACATAACGTGTAACCACAGATTTTTTACCATTTTTATCAATTGTTGTACTCACCCATTTATTATCTTCAAAAGTGATATTTGTCTTTAAAAAATAAAACAAAGAAATCAATGCAAAACGCAGAATCTCTGTGAAAAAAAAGAAACTATACATACTGTAACTTCACGTCCATCAGGTGTTGTTTCATTGAATTCAACACCAGGTGTAAAATCATAGGCGACAGTTTTGAATGTGCTTTCTGATTTTATATTCCATTTACCATCATTTTGACTAATAATAAGACGAGGTTTCACTGCTTTAGCTGCCATACGCATTGCCCATCCGACACCAAGTTCTTTCATAAATTCATCGAAATTTTCATCATCAACCTATTTGTTCAAGAAAAATGCTATGTTAAATTAATAAGATACAAAATATCTCATACGTACATGATCCCAGCTACCTTTGAGTGCCTCAATACCACTATTAGCCATAACGATATTTATTCAATTATGAACAATGATGACCTTTATAAAAAAAAAGAATTTAAATGAAAATTTATCAATAATCTTATAACATTTTACTAGAAAAAAATAATTTTCAAAAGCTTAAGATCATTCCAATAAGAAAGACGTGCTAGAAAAAGAAAACAAAAAGATAATGAGATAGATGAAGAATAAAAAACCAGAAAGAGCTGCGTTTTGTAATTGGTTAAAAAAAATGACGACAAATACTCATGAGTATTCACATACATTCGTAGACTCGACGAAGATAGTCGTCGCTGTCAGGATAAAAGAAAGAAGAAAAAATAAGAACGGATTGTTAAGCGACAACTTCGACGGACTAAGTTTTCGAAGCCATGTTTCCTTATGTGACATAAGAGAAACAATCTATAAGAAGATATTATTAAATTGGTACTTGAGTTTTTCATGTCAGTTTATTTATGACACCAAAGAAAAAAGTTATTACAAGAACAAAAACAGACTCTTGTCTTTTTTGTCATATAAAAAACAATAAACAAGTTGTGCCTGATGTATATATATATATATATATATATATATATAGTTAGTGTCTGCTTGTTGTCAAAATTTATAATGAAAAAATAACAGATTTTGTACTAAATTAGAGAATTTCACTAGAAACATTGTACGAAATGCGAATATGTCGTAAACGTACAAAGCATGGCTTCTAATTCTGAAAAACAGAGCATTCAGAAATCACTTTATAAATATAGTTAACCTATAAAAAACTTAATGATATATTTGATGAAAACAGACATTATCCTAACTATTAAACATAATCAAACTATAGAACCTTAGGTTATGGGATGAGTGCTGTGGATTTTCTAATCACTCACACCCTAAAGATTCCAATACGGTTTCCAAAATATCATGTGGAACTGAAATTGTTAAATCATCGGATAGATACAAAAATTTTAAATATATTTTGAGAAATCTTCACTGTTTGATCTCACAAATGAATAAATGAAGATTTCTCAACATAGATGTAAGAATTTTTTGTATCCATCTGATGATTTAACTATTCTGGTTCTAACAAATTTTTAAAAGTTGATTCCAGTTTTTTAGAATCACTGAACTCTATCCTTTTGTAAAAAGACTAAGATTGATTTGACTTTTAAAGTACCTATCGGAGTTGAACTAGACTTAATTCTTTGCCACAATCGCCCATCAAAATTGTTGTTCTAGTTACAACGAAATATTTGTTGCTCGCAGTTTTCGACATTTTCTTTCCTCTACACTGAAATATTAAATAATAATTAGAAGTTATATAGACTGTTATGTACAAATCATATTTATAAAAGTTTTTTTTCACTATAAAAAATTTGCTCCCTTATCATACAAACCGTCATAGGCACAACTTAAAATATCAAGTCTATTATATATTCTCTCATTTAACTGAAAAAATGAAAACTATAAAAATGTATAAATAATTTAAAAATTCGTTGTGTTTAACATATTTCTGTATTAATAAAGCAGTTATTCAATGTTTTCATCTAGTAAGGATTGCTCTAACATATTTGTTTTCGCAACTTTTCAATCGTCTCTTCGTTTTTTCGATTTAAAAAACCGTATTTAATGTCATATGACACCGAGTAACATTCATAACAATCAAAATTTAACTACATCTGTATCAAGAAAATAGTCTTGAAAATATTTTCGAAATCGATAAATATTATTTCTATAGAGATAATTGAATTTTTGAATAACTAATCCATATCGTATCTCTTTTAAAATTTTGTGCTATTATTTTTCAATGATTGATAATCGAAATGAAGATAAACATCGTTTGGTAAGAACCTATTGACATCAAATAAAAATTGCTCAATATAATCATCATGAGTCTCATGAAGATCAAGATCAGTAAAATGAAAATATTCAATGATTTATAAATCTTGAATTTGATTTTCTACATCGTTTAATTATTCTGTCGTTGTTGATTAATTACAATTCATTCTTTCAACAATAGAAATGATTGAGTAATTCAAAGAGAAAATACATGTTCAAAAAGACATTCATCAAACAAAGATATTCACGAACATATTTTAATAATTCGCATAGAAAATTATTTGCTATATTTTTGTAATATTTCAATTTATATAGATATGGGTATATATGACATTAACTATATTAGTTTTCTTGGAAATAATCCACACACGAAATAATTTAATTATCTTTAAAATCTCTGAACATATATTAAATATCTTCATCTGATGATAAATCAAAATAACTCGATGAATGAATATGAAATGAAAATTTATTTAACTGTATCATATAATTCATAATATTTGTTTTCAACTTATTACCATCAACAAATGTTTTTTTTAATCACAAACAATAAGATACAAATCAAATTTTTCTAATTTCGACATTCGTTATAAAAATAGTACGATTAATTCATCATAAATATGTGTATCTGAATCATAAAACAACGAAACACATTTGAACTTGAGTTAATTTCTCTGGGAAATAGAATATTATTTATTCATTCAGTTGAATAAGATATTAAAAATAAGCTACCTTATTATTGATTGTTAGATGTGAAGAAAAAATGCGAAAAAAAAAATTAACATGAAATAATGTATGAATTTGATTGAAACGTCCATCAAGTAAAGAAAAACAATTAATGAAATCTTTCAGACATAAGAATGTGGAAGATACAGTGTAAAAATATTCAATATTTGCATACAATTTTGCATGTTCTATTGTATATACATTTCTGATCTCATTATAGGATAAGAATTGCAAATGAATTTTATCAGGAGATTATGAAAAATAGAAAAGGGGCAGGCACTTGTATCTTGTGACAACAAAAATATGCAAGGTCTCATCTATATTTAATAATCAAATTGTCACTGAGAACGTTTTTTTTACATCTTCTGCATTTCATACGACATCTTTTGCTTCTATAGTTTTCTGAATAGGATGTGAATAGTTATAGAATGTTGATATCAGTTTAGAGCAGACTTCTACACCCACACAACAACATTCAAACGCTAGGAGCAGATAGTTCACTTGTTTTTTGAACAATCAAAACAGAAACTAATTTCAAACGATTTCTTTGCTATTTTGTAATTATTCAATACAAGTTTCTAACAAATAATAATTAAAGTTCAAAAAGAGTTTCTCTTCTTTTCATTCTAAATCCATGCGTTTATAAACAATATACAACATTTTCTTCGTATAGAACAGAAGAATTTGAAAATATACCAATGAATTGTGTCTTGTAAAATACAACATAGTTTAAGAATGGCCTGTTTAAAAAATTTTATTTTCTAATCAAATAAAAAATGAAAAGTTTTTCTCTCTATAAAACGGGAAGTGTTTTTAACATTATAATCAAAATTATGGAATTCATTTAGAAACGAAACTGATATTTAATCACAACAGTTCTGATTTGTATGGAAAGCCCTTTATTAGGCGCGTTTATACCAACGACGAGCTTTCACTGAACCACATTCCATTTCCTATCATAAAAACATATTTCATTAAAATAGAAAAAGAGAGAATATGAAAAGTGTCTTACAATCATTTGTTGACCTTTATCATCGATATAACGTGTGACCTTAGATTTTGTTCCATTTTTATCGGTTGTTGTATGAACCCATCGATTACCTTCGAACTTAATGGTCGACTATACCAAAAAACAAAAAATAAAGAAATAACAATCGGAAGTAATATAAATGTATAACTATACTTTAACTTCTCGTCCATCAGGTGTTGTTTCATCAAATTCAGCACCTGGTGTAAAATCGTATGATGTTGTTTTCAGTGAACTTTCCGATCGTACTGTCCATTTGCCACCGTTTTCATTAATAACAAGACGCGGTTTCATTCCTTTCGCTGCCAAGCGTGCTGCCATTCCAACACCAAGCTCTTTCATATAATCATCAAAATTTTCGCTATCAACCTATTTTTAGAAAAATTAACATATTAAATTAAAACAACAATACAAAATGTCTCATACATACATAGTCCCATGTACCTTTGAGCGCATCAACACCACTGCTAGCCATTGAAAAGTTTTGAATTAAGACTGTATATGTGACTTATATAACGATACGAACAGAAAGATGCTGAATAAGAAGTGCACACCCTTTTTATATTTCTTTATAAAATAAGATTATCTAGGATTCAAGATTATGCAAATATAAAAGACCATAAAAGATGGTTATAATAAGTGTATGGTAAAAAAAAGGATTTAGCTGATTATCAAAAAACAAAGACATATATATATATATAAGTCAATAATGTGGTTGATATATATCGTTTATATTTATTAATGGTAATAAAGATAAAATTTATTTTACAGTTATACTAAACGAAATGGGAGAACATTAAGAAAAAAAAATTAGTTTTTCATATAGAGTATGATTTGAATATGAAGAGAAAAAAAAAGAAAATTTTTATTGCATGTATATGTAAAAAGAAACAATTCTTTTCGTGATTCATAGAACATAAGAGAATCGATTAATTTTTCTTTTACCGAAACATATGTTAAATCTTTAACCCAGACATACTACATCATCAGGTCAAAGGATACTCAATATTTAAGGACAATTTCTCTTTACAGTACTATTTGAATTTCATTCATTGGTATTTAAAAAGGTTTGAATATAATTTTTCTTTATATTATATTTAATGTTAAAAAAACAAGAAAATTATATCATTTTACTCGAAACAAACAATACAATTACTCGTGTATATCACAATTTAATCGGTAAATGAGTATCTTTTACATGTACCACAATTAAGATAAATTTATAAAAAAATTAGTATGACAAATATGTATTCATATTATTCTAGTTTCGAAAATGCTTTCAGAAATATCAGAAATTAGTCAAAAAGCCAAACAAACTGTGAATGACATCTCAGTTGTAAAAAACTAACATAATAAAATCTAGATTTCATGCTGTTTAACAATTATAATAATGAGTATTTCTATGGAAATTCAATCATGTCGAACAAAAAAGTCATTATTGATTCTACCAAAAGCTTTCAATATCTGTAGGATTTTTTAATTCGAACCGTATTTTTGTGAAAGGATTAGAATTAAGAACGTTTGTCCCTTTTTGAAAGAGACAGACTCAAAATAATTTGTATCGTGAAAACAACAAAAAATCTTCACAAACCTTTTCTGAACAACGTCAATCAATTGTTTTCAAATTGTTTATTTCACTAAAATAAGATCGAAAACAAAAATCTAGATGATATCCAGATTCCTCGTGAATAAACACATCAAACTATATTTAATTTAACTTTAGTTTTGAAAAATAAATCTTGAAAATTCATTTACATCCTGACTACGCATCAATCATACAATAATACAGAATCACTTTTGGTTCGTTGGTTTTTGTGACCAGCTAAACTGCTCTTTCTAGTAATGCCGTGCCTTCGATGGAGCATAAATTGCTTTACAATTCTAATAATATAGAATTCTGAGTATGTTTAATCCAGTTAAACAATTGAGTCAACTTAATTAAATATGTATCTGCATTTTTATCTCTTAAAGTCACATAAAACGGAAATTAAAAGTTCATACGAATGTCGAATCTTCGATTTGTATGAAACTTGCTGAGTTTATAGAGTTACAAAAACTGATGATTTTAATCAAAAAAAAAGATTTGTCATTTGTTGCTTTTTTAGTAGTGACATATGTCATTATTATCAGTAAATGTCTGAGTAATGAGTTTTTTTAGGTATTCCTTCGAAGATCCCGATAATATCTAATCAACTTAAGTTTTCATGGTAAATATGAATCTAACCATGTACAGTTGATCTAATACTAGAAAGAAACTAATGATGAATATGATATTTAATTATTTTACGTTAAAGCAATGTACACGCCTTATTTCTAATTATACCGAAAATATTCAATTTTGTCGCATATTTTAGACTGTTATTGTTGTCGTGTAATACAATAGTCTTGGTATATGTTGACGGAAAATATTCTTCAAAAATAGCAATCAAATTCGTAGTGTTTCTTCATATACAAATTCTGATCTTCACATAAAAGATTTCCGATAGTTTTATAATATATTGTAGAGCTTCAGTCACGCTATTCAATAGTATTTAATAGTGTAGATTCGTTGGAATTTTGATAAAGAAATGGAAGCAAGAACAGATCACAAAAAGTAGGGAAATATGGTATGATGGAAGTATTCAAATAAGCGTCGTCTGAATTCTTATATAATTTTAATTTGAAAGTCTTCTATCTTGAGTTCTTTATACATATTTATAGTGAATCTTATTGAATTAAGTGTAATAACACATGAAACTTTAGTAAATCTATCTCCAGAGAACTTCGCCATTGATTAAAGAAACACCTAAAAAACTCTCTATCAAGATATTTATTGATAATAAACTTTGTCAATAGATGACATAGGTGAGTACTGGAAAAAAAGTAACAAGCAAAAAACACCATTTTTCGTAACTCTATAAACTCGGCAAACTTCATGCAAATCGAAGTTCGATATTCGTAGAAGCTTTTGATTTTCACTTCATGTGACTTTAAGAGATAAAAATGAAAACATATACTTAACAAAGTTACCCCGATTATACGCTTAGCATTGTACACTATTAGAATTGTAGAGATATTGGCATTCTATCGAATACATGACGCTGGTATAAAGAGCAATTCAGCTGTTCGCAAAAATCAACGAATCAAAAATGATTTTGTAGTATTTGTATGATTGATATGTACTCAGGACATAAATGAATTTCAAATCTGTTTTAAACCTGAAGTCAAAATTAATATGATTTAATATGCCTATTTTTGAGAAATCTGAATATCGTTTAAGTTTCGTTTTCGATATTGTTTTAGCGAAATAAGCAATTGAAAATAATTGATTGAAATTGTACATTAAAGATTTATGAAGTTTTTTTGTTTTTCAAGCCTCCAGTTATTTTGAGTCAATCTCTATCAAAAACGAAAAACGTTTCTAATTCTAACCCTTTCAACAAAAAAAGGATATGGTTCGAATTAAAAGTCCTATCCTCACTGAATCTTTTAGTACAATCAGTGATCATTTTGTCCAACGCGATTGAGTTCTCATAGAGATATTCTAATAGTAAATAATATTTTCTTATACATATCGTAAAACAAACAATAAAGAATAATTTTGAAATAAATTAACACAATAATTTAAGAGCAACTAGTAATTTCTTGTTTGGAAGAAAATCCATTATCATCCTGTTTTTGTCTTCTCTAACTATTATTATTTTTTGCTACAAAAAAAAAAAACATTTATAAAGATACCAACGTTCGACATTTTCTTCATTCATCTGTTGTATTTATTTGCCATATGGCATAAAAATAATCTGTTCTTATGATTTTACTCTACATAAATTGTAATTACTCGAAATAAAACTTATTACATATTTGAACAAAAAAAAACAAATACTATAATATGAATAAATCTATCGAGCAACAAAATTTCTTTGTCATAGAATGAAAATTGATGTCGAGATTCAAGATTTTCAATGGAAATTTATTTTTTTATTTTTTATTTTACTTTGGACTTATATGAAGATAAAATATCAACAAGACATGAGAGTTATCAGTACTCATAATCAAGGTATATTTTACTTTTCTTCTTTTCTTCTTTCATATGTTATCAGAGTCCAAAACATAAATTAACATATATTTTTCTTTCACTTGTTGTTGTTTTTTAGCTTCTTCATTATGCCAATAATATCTTTGGTCAATTTACCACCAGAAATATTTCTTTTAATTTTCAAATATCTTCATAAACCACATATTACTTATTCGTTCTTAGAATTGAGTAATCATTTCTCGTTACCTGTAAAATATTTTATTGGAAAACAATTTGATTTAACAAAAATTAATGATGATATTATTTTTCAATATTGTTTATCAACTGCTTTACCATTAATTGGATTTAATCTTCGTTATTTATCAATTGGTTATCAATATTGTTTATCAACATATATTAAATCAATAAAAACTTATTGTCCTAATTTAGATAAATTGACTATTTATGGTTGTTCTGAAAAAGAAGACATTCGTCATTATGTAGCAAATTTAATACATCATAAACTTATGTCATTAAATTTTATTTTTAATGATAAAATCGTCGGTGAAAAAATTAGTCATCGTCTACTTGAAAAATGTAGAAATGATGAATTTCAAAAAACTCCAATAGCATCGTCAGTTCTATTGCATTTATCAACAATGAATAATCTTATTTTATTAAAACGATTCTCTGAAAGTGACTATCTTCCTAATGGTTTATATATGATTGAATATGTGCCAACTGGTGAGTGGTTAACAGATAGTGAAAATGATTTATGTATAATGCCAAAGGAATTTCATTGTGAACATATTTTTTCTATAAAACAAATTGATAATAATCAATGTTGTCTTGAATATGAATTACGTCAAAAACAAACACAACATCTTTTAACAGTTTTACCAATCAATGAACCTGAAGAACATTGGATACCTTCATCTATTCTTTCAACACATCGAAAAGAAACATTTCGTTCATGTTCAACATTTACTTTTGAAAAAATTGATAATGAGAATCAATTTTATATTCGACCTTGTTATTCAAATGCTAAACGATTACAAGCACGGGGAAAACGTATTATTGTATCAGTTGGTGATAATGATAGCACACAAAATCATTATTTTAGATTTCATCGTATTTCGTAAGAATTTTTTTTTTTGATAATAAATATTATTCGCATTAAATAAACAGTAATATCTAAATGTCAGATTTTTTTGATAGAATATTATCTTATTTACGTAAAGACTATGGTTAGTTTATTTGGTCATCTAACAAAGATGTCCATTGTGGTTGAAATCCTGCCACAATGATAGCAACGAAAAGCTCGTGCTCCGCAATGAGCTATAAAAAAAAATAGGTTTGCTCTGTCATGATAGTATTTAAAAAACAATATTTTCGAATTTCACTGCTATACTTGTACTGAACTATAACTGTTGTTATTAATTCATGAGGTTCATCAAGTCTCAGAGCGTTACATTTGTGGACATTGAAATTCCATGTAGATTCATGCTATTTTACAATGTCTATAAAACAAACGACTGCTGTGCTGCGACAGACTTCTCTGTTATCTAAATGATTTATAACTTTTTGAATAAATTAGAATAGAGCATTATCGATTACTAATATTTTATATCGGTCTTCATTGTTTTCATGTCCACGCATCAGTGTCTGACATGAGTCACTTTTTTTGTGACCCGACCCGAGTTTAGCGAACCTTGATCCGACCCGACCACGGGTCTGACCCGATCCGAGTCCCACACTGTCATGCATTAAAAAGAAAATAATTTACACAAAAGTCATACTGTTATGCAATCAAACAGATTAAGCTTTGTGGATTTTGTTTTTTTCTTTAATGAAATTGTATTAATAGAATTTTATCAATATAAAAGACACTGATTTGTAACGCTTGATGTACATGTGTATACTAGAGCCTCTCGGATTGGTCCTGGATTCAATCAGGTCTGCATCCGAAAATTTTGGATCCGATAGACTCTAGTCGTTTGAGAAATGTGTATGATGCACTAGTCATCGAATACAAAAAATTGAAACAAGAATATCTCGTATCCTCGGGGCGGCTGTCCAATTTCGATTAGAAAATTTCATTGAGTTTCAAAGTCTAATTTGACCGGATCCGGATCCGAAAATCTTGGACTCAACAGACTCTCGTGCACACTGTTCTCACAAATCATTCAACAGTTACCAAATGAAACGAACTACGCGAGAACAATTTTTCTTAAAAGATAAATGGAGTATTATATATATTTAGAATAAAATTACTACATGTTTCTTCTTTATAGTAATGCATAGAATCAGTTTAAAACATGATAGAATGAATAAAAAAAGTATATCAATTAAATTGTCTTTTATGTTCTTTTGCAACCTTTCATCCGTGACGAACTATTAGCTACAAAGAATCTTTTTTTATCATGGTCTATAAGCTTATCTTATAACAAAATAGGTCTTACAAAAAGAGTTCAGAAAATTTTTTTGACCTATTCCATTGTACTTAATCACATATTTGATTTCAACACAAGTCGTTATTTTATTTGTTTTACAGTTGTTTTTTTCTACACAAAAAGAAAGCTTGTGAATATCTTTCGATTTCAGATTGACAAATCATAATTCAACATTCAGTCGAATGAATACTTTAATAATCTTATTTAATATTAGGAATAGTGCTTTATTTTTACTCTATTTGGTAAAATAAGGTTGAAAAATATCGATTTTTTAAATCTATGTATGAAGCATGTTATTAACTAATTTCACTTTTTCAAAGTAAAACAAAGATAAAAGGTCACTTCTTTTTAATATCATATCATTCTGTATAATGTGCGATAGCCCTTATCAGCTATAACGCACACACATATTGTTTTTCATGACCAATTATGAGTGTGTCTATCGTTTTGACAATAGTTTTCACAAGCTGGATCGTTATGTAATTTCTTAATTTTATTCATCTTTCTTTAGGCGATTTCAATAAAACATGTTTAAAAAAATCCACATTTGTTGAGCTTCCATTGTTTAATATCACTCCGACAGAACTTCTTTTAAATGGTTTGTGCCAATTAATTATATTGATAGTTATACAACTTATCTCTTCATAAATTGTATTACTAATAACAATGAAAAACAAAATTCATTCGATGAAATTATTCAAAACAAAAAATATTAGCAAAAAGTATTTTAAACAAATATGATTTGTATTTAATGTGAAAAAACAAAATTCAATTAAATATTGTATTTGATACAATGAAATTATTTCAATAGTATATTTGATTATCTTCATTGATATAATCAATAATTTGACATATGTGTCTTGTATTTCAACAAAGTTTGAATGCCTACCTGTTAATAACTGATGTTAATAAATGCTGGACGAAGGAACTGGGGTTTAGAACGAACAGTAGATTTTATAATAGATTAGTTAGGCAAGCGAAGAACTGTCTCATGGAATGGGCTGCATTTGATTGTGTCCATATTAAACAATATGACTGCTTTAGAACTTCCACAAATGCATTGAATACATTTGTATTTAAATATTTTCTATCATCCTCCCTTGAGATTTGATTTGTTTGTTTTTCTCTTTCTCTACATGTGGCCGGTAATGTTTTCTCTTTGCATTGTTATCTCTCTCTTCACGTACTTTTCATGTTCTTTTTCACTTCTCTCTCATCTTTATACTACTTTTTTTTAAACATATTGTGAACAAAAACATTTATATGGCACAATAAATATATATGTTAAAAAAAAAATAATTTGACATATGTCATACGATTGATTTAACCAATACATATCGTGCGAATATAAAAGCCAATGAATGTCAAGAATACAAACTTGATATTCATTTCTTCTCATATAGTAACAGAAAATCTTTTTTTTAAAAATCAATCATCGCATGGCTACATTTATCCTTGTCTCATTGAAACATTTAATTATTGTGAAGCATCGAAAAAACGTTAAATTAATCTTGTTTTGATCTATTCTTTTTTTTTTATTAGATCTTTTTGAGATTCATTTATTCAACATATACAACGATCGGTTTTTCTCTTGAATGATTTTCATTGTGTATTAACAGATTATTTCCTCTTCCACATACATATTCTTTCAAAGAATTTTACGCCATTACTTTACTATATTCTATTCTCTCATTGAAAGAATTCAAATGAACGTGAAGAAATAGAGTATGAAAAAATGATGAAGTCATGCTGGTTATCATTATTGTCATAGCAACTGGAATTGACTCAATGGTTATGATAAAACTTATTTGTAATTGTCTTTCAAATTCATCTCTTCTTATATATGTATCCAATCAATATCTATGTACTTACTTTGATTCGGCTATTATTAGTTGTGTACCAGTAGAAAAGATAAGAGATTGATCACTTAGCAATGTTGAATTATTTTTAAGTTATCATGAAAATTCACCTTGTGATATGAATTATCAATATACATGAAGGAATAGATCGTATATATTGAAAGAACAATGATTCAATCAGATAATTGATGACAAACGAGATGATGAAGATAAGAATTTTGTGATGTTTTGGTACTTCTTAATAACGTCCTTTTTTTCTATATTAATGATAGTTCCTATTACTATTTTCTTTCAATAATATTCATTATTATCGAAATATTATGATTAAAAATCGAATCAATGATAACTATGGATGCTTATGTTTTTTTGCTATTATGAAATCTACTATGAAATACAAAGTGAACGTCTTACTATTTTCTATCGAGTTGAAAAATCAGCTGCATTCAGTCAACATTTGATTTATCGATTTGATACTTTTTGTCATCTATTCGATGAAAATAAACAAATGTTGACGTATGAAACAATTCATTAAAGATTTTCCCTTGAAGTAACTTATCAATTAAAATTATTATCGATTAATGAATTTACAATATACAATAAGTAAATAATTCAATCGTTTTTTTTTAATGTTTATCGAGACACAAATTATTCTATTTATGAACTTACACCTTTATCATGGTTTTATTAAGTTCGATTTTCGAAATTTTTTAGCTGTTATTCATTTTTCTACACCTCGAAATACCAATACGAAATTGAACAAAATCTTGTTAAGAATTAATTCATTATCAATTCAGATGAATCATATTTTCTATTTAGATGACGATTGGCTTGAATCGATGTATGATCGAACAATATGAAACTTTAAATTGTTATTATACATGCTCAAAATTGATTGCCTACAACAATGATACATTCTCTTTCTCCTTCTCTCCATTATTGATCGTATCGATTTTAAATATCCTATTGCATTAAACACTTGCTCTTTCAATTTAATGTTTGAATAATAATACTTGTGTTACATTAAATCAATGCACCATTTGAAATGTTTTGTATTTTTGTCGAAGAGATTATATTGGTAATATATGTCAGCGTGGATTAGAATAATTGAAATAAAATATGTTGATCAAAATATCTCATATAAGAGTAATCATTATTCATTTTCTTCATACATTTTCTAACTAATTTCTGGTAATTTAATTTATCGAAATCTTTCTCGTTTTTTGAAATATTCAATCAATTATAAATTATATTGATTAATCATTCTTATCTTTGCAATGTAAACGATTAAGTCAAGAGGGATTATACTTGTATACATCTAAAATGTACAACAGTTTGTTTATGCTAAATTCAAATGATACAAATTTCATTCACACTCTTCAATTAAGTTACTAGTTTTTTCGCCAGAGATAAACTCAAAAAAAAAGAAAGAATGCGATTGGCATTTATTCATATTATCAATTGTTAATTAAATAACAATAAAATTATTTTTAGTATGTGTAATCTATCTAATATATAATCAAAACTAAAAAATTTTTAATAGCAAATTATTTACTTTTCAAAAGTATTTATTTCGATAATAATCAATATGTTCATGCAATACAATTTCTTATTCTTTCTCTTCTGTTTTACTATACATTGTTATGTACTTTTGTCAACTACTTATAATTATCGATCAGATAAATGTCTATGGTGTGTAAATCATTTTGTTCGACTTCACACTTGACAATTATATATATTACTGTTAATGTTTTATTAGTTTGTTTTAACATAATCAAATTTTTCCCAGTACATTAATATGCTGTAAGTAATACAAAACATTGGAATATATCAATAAGACATACGAAATTTTTTTCTCTCATAGTAATTATTGCATCTAAAAGTCATTGAATAATCATAAAATCCAGCAGTTTTCAATAAATTTTTTATTTACATATTGTCCGAAAGGGTTTAACGACGTTTCTTTTTCTAATTTTAGGCTTCAAACAGACTAGACAAAGAATGGAAATTGAATTCATAAATCTAATTGAGGTCATATAGTTGAAGCTCCAATCAGATGTCTTAATTTAGTTTGAAACAGCATCAATTGTATGTAGTTCACCATATCCTATTAGAATTCAAACAAATACGGATCATTGGAAAAACTTAAAGTTTCGTAACAGCGAAATACAACCACAAGATGTTATTGAACTGATTAAAGAAGTCTGACATTACGGCAAAAATTCTTATATGCAAATAAAAATTTCCTATTTTCCTTGTTATTGATCCACTTTTTCATCATCTGATGAGCATAATGCATTTCTTTTTTTTTGCTCATTTGTACTCCAAACACGTTCAAGTGATGTAATTAATATTTGGCACAAACACTATTTTTCTTCACCTAGTTAAAAGGACAGAGTAGTAAGCGTAATTTCTTGTTCATGACAGGCAACCGACTTTATATCTGCACAGCACAACAAAAGCACAGTTGCAAGAAAATTCTAGCAATGGATAAAATGGTTTCGCGATTAAACTTACTATGTTCATTAATGAATATTATAATCGGAAGAATGCCACGAGAATTTGAGATTATAGGTCATTTTTTTGAAATGATGATTATTTCACTGCAGTCTCTAACCAGTGCCATCATTTATCGAGAAAAATCTAAGGCACAAAGTTTGACCTCAAATGTTGTTCCTAAAGAGATCTTATTGCGCTTATTAGACATCAAACATTTCAGTCAAAACGAAATTATCCTTCTTGAGTTATGTGTGTAACCAAGATGGATTTTCCACTTCCGTTGTGAAACATATGCATTTCTTCACTAGCTCATATCTCAGCAATGAAGCATTTTTTTGTGACTAAAACTTTTCATATATTATGATTAAAGTATCTGCATCTGTTTTCAGCACAAGTATGAAGGTGTAAATCTTCTCTTTATTTATACCTATACTCACACACCCAATGAAATAAGATTTCAACTGCAAGGCAAAGTATAAGAATGATCGTGTACGTATGTTGTTGAGAATAGAAATAAAGGAAGGAGTTACACTTTGTTATAATTCTTAAACTATTTTATTTTCAAAAGAACTGGTAACAGATATAACAAAGGTTAATCCAGATCTTTTTTTGCTATATAAAAATTCATACAGACAATATCCGTCATTATATAATTCGATGTTTAGAAGTATGTTAATTATTAGAATATGAGATGATGATGATCAAGACAACGGACTTGTAGGCAGAATTTTCTAAGAGTGAAATGAAGAAACTATTGCGTTTAACAAATTATGTGGTGCTTTCTCACATATTCATTCAATATAGTATTGAAATAAATGTATTATTTTTTTTCTTCTGTGAATCGAAATAAGTCTAAATGTTAATATAATTTCTTATTCTTTATTTATTTAAAAAAAAATCTGTTGTTTACTAAACAAAACATAATTAACATGAAATATCAAAAAACAAAACACTATGTTTTAGGTCGTCGTTTTGATAATTGATATTCATCCCATAATTTAGCTTTATCAACAGGAACAATGACACATTTTATAGATACTTCAACAAGTGGATTGATCTAAAGAACAGAAATTAAAATCATATTATCTTAAAAGAAAATTAAATTAAATTTACTTTAAGAATAACATTAAATTCTTCTCCTAATTTATATGTATCTTGATTAATAGAACCGTCTTCTAAAATAATAGCATCTTCATCACACATAACATTCTAAAATATTTTTGAAAAGAATCAATAAATTTTAAATTAAAAAAAAACAACAACAACATACAATACGTCGAAGTGCAATACGAATATTATCTTTTGTTAATGACCATTCTTTTGATTTAAGATTAATTGGTATTTGTAACACAATTGATTTCAAATAATCACGACATTTCATAACAAATGGTGATATTTGTGGTCGATCTACAAGTAATTTTCTTTCTTCTTCAAATAATGCAATATTTTCTGGTGTTGGATAGAGTGCTAATTGTGCTGGTAATAATTCTCTGTAAGTTATTTCACGTGGAATATTAACTATTTCACCTTTATAACCCACACCTATTTATAAAGTAATAATTCTTATTAAATATTTAAAATCATCGTTTTGCTTTTTTTTTACCTTCAACATATTCCGTTAGTATAACATCAATATTTCCCCATTTTTCTGTATCTGTGTCACGAATAATGCGATATTGAAAATCGGTATATTTGTATTTACTATAATCATAAATATTTTCCCCTGGACGTAATTTCGTCAATGGATGTACACGTTCAACAACAACAGTTGTCTAATTAAACAAAAACAATAGAGGTAATTAAGTCTATGAAATAATTCTTGTTTACTCGAATAGAAATCTGAATAATACGAGCAGATTGTAATGGTCGAATCAATGTTCGAAACATCTACAAAAGAGAGAAACTATGATGGAAAAACAATATTCGTTTAAAAAAGAAAAGAAAAGAAAAGAAAAACAAAATCGAGTACGCATGGTCCCATGAATTACATTAAAATAAATGAAGAAAAAAAACAAAACATGAAATATTTTCGTTTTCGGAATCTGTTAGCTCGCTTCGACAAGCTTACGTTTATTTTATTTAAAAGTATATATTCTGTTTAAATGTCCTTAACAACACGTACATATATATATAACAAGATACAATAGAGAAGAGAAAATAAAAATAAAAAGAATAACAACCACAAAGCGATAGAGAGAGAGATGGAAAAACATCAAGGGGCAGGAATGAGGGTGAATCACCGCTAACAGAATCATTCCATTGAAAATTGTTCGAGTTTATCACTTTTACTTAACCATGATATATTTGTATCAGATGATTCAGATTGAAAAGCTGTTGAAATAAGATCTTTTACTGCAACGTATGTTTTATTAAGTTGTTTAGCTTGCTGATAAGTTGTATATGGTAAAGAATTATCATCAGGAAAATTTGCTTGAATAAAATTTGTACAATCTTCAAAAAGATTTCGTTTACTTAATAAAGACATTGATCGATCATTTCTATAAAACAAAAGTAAAACAAAATTAATAATAGAATTCGAAATTCAACCAAGCTCGAATCCAATCTATTACCAAGAAAAAAAACAAAGCAGTTTAGTTTTATACCGATTAATACATTTAATTATGCAGGTGTATTCTATGGTATTCAACGATACTATTCATGTATTTTTTTTTCTAAAAGTTTCCCAATCGTTAAATTTATAAATTTTCACTATGTACAGTTTTGAGTGCCGAAAGAAAAAATTTCAACTTCATTGTATAGTATGTCATGTATTCAACACAATCATATGCAATTAGTTAAATGTTTTTAAAAACTAGACATGAACGGAATGAGCTATTTTTAATTTCAATTTCGTTCATATTTATTGCTTAAAACATATATAAATCTTTATGAATCTTACCTCAATTTTCCAGTCATAGGTTCTAATAATTCCATTCTATCTGGCTTTGTAGTATTCCATGCAAATGCACTTGTTTGAAGTTTAGCTACTTTTCTTTCATGTTGAAATGATTTTGTTTTCGGACAATCAATATCAGATAAATGACAAATAAATGGGGATGGTAATGAATGAATATGTTCATTTAAACGTTCACATAATCAATATTTGACGTGATTACGATCAAATGTTGCTTCACATGCTAATGTTATTGATTCAAGATAAATTGGTTTAGTAAGTAAATTTATCAGAAGACCACCTTGAATACCTAAGATATTCCATCGATATATTTTATCACTACATGATTTTATTGAATATTGTATTGAATTTGTTGAATAAAGTATAGTACCTTCTGTTTGACCTTGTTTATAACGTATAGAATTTGATAAAATATTAAATGAAGCATTACCACATAGTAATGATGATATATACATATGAAATGCTATATTATAATGAAGTTGATATTCATTGATTGTTGAATTATATTCAAAAATTGATGATTGATTATCTTTTGATTGTTTAATTTGTTCAAATAAAAATCTGATAAGACCACGATGTGCAAGTATTTCAGAATGACAATCATGTAAAACTATTCCATCATTAGCATAAATAAGATTTGTTTCATTAGGACAAGAATTTCCTGTAGCAATACCAATTCCCAGGTCGAAAAGTACCGACCGGTTCCGGCTGGAAAACAGCGGAAATAGCCGGAACATGGAGCAGTATTCCGGCCGGAAATTTTCGGAATTCTTTCCGATGATTTTCCGCTCGGTTCCTGCCGGAAAACACAGGAAATTGGTCGGAATTCATCGGAAAAAATCCGGAGAATTTCCGGCCGGAATACTACTTCCATGTTCCGGCTATTTCCGGTGTTTTTCTGCAGGATACGGTGATTTTTCCCGCATTTTCCTACCGGTTCCTGCAATATCCGGTGGCCGGAACGATGGACCTGGGTTACACGTGCTTGTTCATATTGTCCATCAGTTATCATTAACATACATGCTAAAGTTTTACGACCGAGTAATAATTCATTTATATTTAAATTTTGAAATTTTGATATAGATTGATGTGCAATATAATCATGTTTATCTGAAAATTTCAATGGAAATTGTTCTTTATTACATGATTCACGATAAAGTATACGTAAAACTTGATCACGTGCTAATTTTTTGTGCTTCAGTTTTTGATGAACAAATTGATGAACTAGGAAATGAACGACCATTAATTGAAATTATACATGTAAATGATGATGGAGAAATAGAAGAATATTCATAATTTAATGTAAACTTTTTTTGTTGAGCATATTCATTTAAAGAAGATAAACAATTTGCACTTTGTAGAATAGATAAAAGTTCATGACTTGGTAATAATAAAGATTGATTATCTATTGATGAAGTATTTGTTTCTGCTTCTTCGAATGAAATATCTGGACAATTTTCAATTTTTGAACAAATTAGTGATTATTCATTTTCAGATGGAATGTCTGAATTATCTTTGTTTGACGAAGTAATCTTTTCTTCTTCGGATGACAAAATAGATTGATCTTCAGATAGTCGTGCAGAGCTGGGCAACTCAATTCAAAACAAAGGAAATTTCAATTCATTTCAACTCAACTCAACTCAATTCAATCTAGGAATTCGGCCCAATTCAATTGATAAAGTTCTTATATGTCATTGAATGGAAGAGAATAGACAAAAACATCGGAGACTAATGTATTGAATTGAATTGGAGTGCCCATATTTCTTGTATAAAATTTAATGGATTATTTTTGTATATGAATTGAGTTGCTCAGCTCTGTAGTTGTGAAACAATAGAAGTTGGCAATGTAATAATTTCAGTGTCTGTACTTGGTTTACGAAGAATTGTAATTGGATGTGGAATAGTTTCAGATGTTGATACAGTTGAATTATCATTGTTAGTTGTTTGTTTTGTTTTTTTCTTATTTTTTGGTTCAATTTTACGAATTACTTTTGATGAATTATGACATTCAGATGTTGATGATACTTTTGGTTTATTTGGATCATAGAGTTGTTTTGGTTGAAAACGATAATGAACAGATGATGTTTGTGGATCAAAATAATATGATTGTGGCCTAAAATACAATTATTATAATTTTCATCAAATTTTATAATATATAATTTTTACGCGCTTTTGTTATAGTATTTATATATAAAGAAAATCAAAACAAAATGTATTCATTTCATGATTATTATGTACAGAATGGTATTATATTAAAGAATACACCATATGAATCTCTTATACCACTACGTTATGATATATACGAAGAAGCAATATGTATTATAATATTTCTTCTGTTACTTAGTATAGAAATTTTTATTTCTATTGCACAAGTCATAATTGATTGTATGAAAGTAAAGAGAAAAATGAATAATAATGATTTGATGAAAATTTTATATCAACAACAAATCGATACTTCTTCGACAACTATAAAAACTTCTTCAACAATTAGTGAAACAATAAATGAATAAATCATCTTTTTCTTTCTATTAAATAAGATGCTAAAAATTCAAAAGAACTCGTGAAGCTGATTCTGAGTAATACTTTTTAAATCTCATATGACCTTGTTTTTGTGGAGAAATTTTGGAGTTTCTTCTCCTTACTCTTACCATTTATTATTTATGGACTATCTTATTCTAATTTAGCATCAAAAACGGAGTATTACTCTATATATCTGAATATGTTTGATTATTGTTCCCTTGCTCAACAATTTCTACAGAAACCGTTCTGACTGAAATTCACGCCTGAATCTTGTAAACCTATTTTCTTGTTTGTTCAAAGAACTTTTCTTTCATATCATATATCATTCGAATCACTAAGAGACAGAGAATAAAGTTATGAAGGATTTTCGAAAAATCTGCGACGTTTAATAAGAAAATCGATTCTTTTGTTTTCTATATCGAATTCATACAAAAATGGGCTTGTATTTTGCAATTTTGACCATCATAATTTTATTTCAATGACAAAACGCATATAATATTCGGAATCAGCGTAAAAAGGTGCGTCTAATGGCATATGTTTTCTGGAAATTATTTTTTGTCAAAACCGCGCCTTTACTCCTTCTCATTCGTTTTTTTTCAATAATTTCATTTGTAAAACAATCGATTTTCTTACTAAGCGTTACAGATTTTTCGACAAAATATTTCATGAATTTACTTTCCGTATTTTAATGATTCGAATGATCCGTGACATTTGAGAAAGTCTCTTCGAAAAAGAAACGGAGGTAGGTTTATAAGATGCAGGAATAAGTTTGAGTCAGAACAGTTTCTGTCGGGCTTGCCTACCGAGGGAACAATAATCAAATACATTCAGGCATATAGAATAATACTTCGTTTTTGATGGTAAATCAGTATGAAATAGTCTGAACAATAAATGGAAATAATAAGTAGGCGAAATTTTGAGACTTCTCGATCAAAACAAGATCACCTGAGATTAAAAAAGTGTTACTCGGAATCAATCTCGCAAGCTGTATTAAGTCATACAAAATTTAACGAAATACTTTTGTTTTTCACTATAATTTGTTAAATTTCCGACATCTTACACCAACTAAAACTATTAGTGAAGAAATAATTAAATTTTAAGAAACTTACGTCCATACGTGAGGCGCCGACATCATATGTATTCCACGAGGACGATTCATCAATCGTGGATGCATCATCATATCAGGATATTGCGAATAGAGATGTCCATCACGGCTCAAAATCTGCCGCTGCCGCGCCGCCACCACTACAGCGGCAGCGCCGCGATGAACATCTCTGATTGCGAACGAAATTGATTGTAATACTGATAGTTATAAGGATTATAGTGTCGATTAGATGGACGTGAAGATGGATGCATATGAGTTGGTAATGTCCAATTAGATGATGATAATGGATAAGTCATATGATTTGAATTTGTATTTACTAATTCACTAAAACAAAAATTTATAAGAAATTTTTATTTAAAATAAAAACAAAAGAGATAGCTCTAACTTTGCCATGTTTGGTTCTTGCAAAGTGACATGTTTGATTTTTGTTTTATTATTGCTATTTGAAGATGGTTTATCAGAAAAATTTGATGCAAAACTATCCACATAATATTCTGGTTGTAATGTTACTGTTTCAGATTTATAATTTATTGGTAAAGATGATTGCTCATTAGATTGCGTTTACATGTATGATCTTGATGGACAATCATTTTGTTCATATGTTTGAAATTCTGAATAGGGTAATCGAATTGACATCAATGGTGGAGTAAAAGCAACTAATTGTGCTTGAGTTTCAGGTTGATTCATACGTTGTGGAAGAAAGTACGATGGTGAATGTATTGAATGATGATATTTATAACTTGGACGTGGACGAAAACAATTTGGATTCGAACGATTCATTGATCTTATATCATGCATAGATAATCTAGACATTGGATTATCTATCTCATCAAGCTAAATAACAAACAATAATAGAAAAAGAAATTAATTAATATATACAGTTGTAATTTTTATTTGAACGCTAGTTTTCGTTACATCTGCTATTATGTTTATTTTTCGATAGAGAGATGCATTGATGCACAATGACTCGAAATTTATCTATCTTCTTGCGTTTGGTGATTGTATAAAATAGTACCTAGCGACAGAACGAAAGAAAAAAAAGTTTAATTTAATTCTAAAATTCATTGTGTTCTATTCGTTGATCATGTATACAGTGGAACCAACAACAGAACGGAAAGAAAAAAATATTATTGAATTTTGAATTTCTTTCGGTTTTCTTATTGTTCATTTAATTAGCTGACGATAATGAGAGAATAGAAAGAAAAAAATAGATTGATATATATCTATATATATATATAGATGTATGTATTATGTAACCCATTCTTTTGCGCGTTCTCTTATGGAAGAAACTAAAATATTCAAGTAAGTGATTTATTTGACATTGAATGTTTTTGTTCTGAAAGAGTATTTAAAAAAACTCAAAGAAGATATTTCTCACAATAACTACTACAATAGCTTTACCATAAGTATTTCAGAAGAATCAATACTTATAGAGAATATAACGTCAGCTGTAGAAATCAAGCGGTTGGCTATATCATGATTGGTTAAAAAGAAGGTTCGCGTTTCGTGATCAGAATCATACTTCTGATAAAATCCATAGTGTAGAAAACAAGTATTAAATTAATTGAAAAATTATGACAATAATATAAATTTTTTTATTACTCATTCCTCAGAAAGTTGAGCGCCATTCACGATTGAATCTATTCCGTTTTGAAATTTCATTCTTGTGTTGGAAACTGTTGAGTATGATTGGCATAAACTCTTTAAGTCTTGTTAAATATAATTACAATTAATTAATGTCTTGGAAGTTTTACGATCATTGCATTTATTAAACTCAGTTAAATAATGAATTTTAAGGTGAAGAATAAAGCAAAAAAAGCTCAGTAAATATAAATTAAACTACATAATGTGAATAACTAATAGGTAATCGAGAAATATGATTGGAAAATAAAAAATATAGGTTTTACTAGTATTTTTTAATTTAAAAAAAAGTCTTAGTTGTCCGTAGTAGCAATCGAAATATCAGATATAGAATCGTTCGTTCAATTTCCATTTGAATAGTTTCAAGTGCTTAAGTACGAAAATTTTTGTCTCAATAAAAAAAAAATTTTAATTTACGAAATGGATTGTGAGTGATTGGAGTATAGATTCACGAATTAATTTTAACATCGTATTTTTATGCTATATTGATCATCAGTATAATGCAAACCAAATCAGTTCATGTTTGGAATTTCAAAAGATTAGTGAAGAACCTTGTCTTTAGGATAAATAGTCATATTAATGTTTACGTTTGATAAATAAATTCAAAGATGTTTGATTGGTCGACTCTACGTGATTGTATTTTATTGAAACGACGAAATGCAAAAAAGAAAGTTTTAAGACTTTCTACTACTCAAAGTAAATTAATTAATCATGTTTTTAATAATTTACTATCTAGTGTGAATATTTTTTTTGATGTAGGTAATATTTCAAATATTGGATCATCATTGCAACAAATGGTAACAGGTTAGATTGGTACTATTGAACAACGACAAACATAACTATAACAGTTTTTGTACCTTTTTGTACTTATTTTATTGTCTTTGTACTATTTTTGAAATAAAACTTGATCGAAAAAACGATTGTTGAACAGAATCCTAAATTTTAATGAAACAAGGCACTGAATAATCATGCTAACGTAACTGAATTTTGCTAATTAATTACAGAAAAATTATCGGTTTGTTGCAGTTAATCGGAAAAAAGTGACCGGTTTATCGCGGTAATGGGAGCCGGTAACCGGACCGGTGAAACCGGCGGTTTTTATTTGATTCGTATTACATGGGTACTTCTGGCTAGATTTTCGTGTCACTTTCATTCGCCATTATCAAATTCCATGAGCCTCTATAATGACATCCACATTTTCCCTTAATTCGTCGTTTCCTTTAAACGGTTACTACAGACAATATGCCATTAGATTTTCGCTATGATATTCGTTCTGATGGTTTATTTCAAATCATTCATATGATTGGATGAATCGTATAATAGGCAGATATATCAATTTTTATCACACATCCACGTCTTGCTTATATTTATTAATTGTTATCTTTAGAGAAAAAAATTTGTTTTTGTTTTCTTTTGAAAATCTTTTTTACCGATAGAAATCTGTACCATATTTAGCAAGGAGAGAAAAAGAATAAAATAGTAAGATATTTGTTCATCATTTGTGTTATGTGAAAAATGTTGTTTTGTTTTATTCCAATACAAAAAAACAATGAATGCTCTTTTCTTTTTTTTAATTTTTTGTCACAGTAATAAATCAATTCGAAATAATGCTAGTCAAACCTGTTGTACGGTCCAATCAGATTCGTCAAGTTTTTGCTTGGCCTTTAGTTCAATGCTCAAGTATTTTGACTCAATGCTCAACGACAGAACGAACAATCGTCTCATCAACTAATCAAAGTAATAGATATTTAGCATTAGACATTGCTTTAATATTATTTACCTCATCGTAGTTACCATTAGTAAATAAAATACGAAACTAATATCATTTAGATTTTGATTTTGCATGTTATAATATATAGAGAAGGAAAAGGATATTACAATTTTATCAATTTCTTTTCATAACAGTAGAAAACAAAATTTTTTGTTTGTAAAAAATGTAGAAAAAGAATACGTTGTATTTTTTGATAGGAATTTCATATATTTTAATAGCGCAAACAAAACTTTTATTTCATTCGGTGGTTACTTTTGTTCTCGTATTCTTCACAGAGAAAGAATATAAGAATTTACTATGTCGAGAAAATATTTTTTTTTTGTTGACTTACGTCTTTCATGGCAGTCCTTATTTTAATATTCTGGTGCATCCGAAGAATGAAAAAAAACCCTATTTAGGCTTGGTAGTTCTGATCAGCTATCCATGTCTATATCATACACCACCGACACTTATGCCGGAACAAGTACGTAACGAGTGTCAGAGTATATCGATGTGTATGCAGCCGTTGTGTTACAGACGTTTTAGTGTTGTTTATTGAAAAGACCCTCTTGGTTCATTTGTCGTTGCTATAATTTGATCCAATGGGCATCCGTACTGATTCATTTCCGTCTCTCTCTCTCTCTCTCCTTCGCTTTAAAACAAGAATTCAGTATTAAACAAAGATCAAGTTCCATTTTTATAAAAACACACACACATTAATAACCTTAGTATAAAAAGGAACGACTGTACACTAAAAAGCAAAAACAAAAAATAAAGTTGTTTTTTCTGAATGCTTAGAATTTCTTTTCAATTGAAATATTCACGATAAACTAAAATGTTCTATAATACATTTAAATCAAAATTATAACTAATTTTTCAAGGAAAAAAACGAAGTTTTCTTTTCTTTCCCATCACTTTCAGACAGATCTATAAATTTTCGTGCCAGAAAAAAAAATGGAGCGACCGGTGTTTTTTCCTTCCCTTCTCATTCGTCCGCATTTTAGGCTCTTATTTGTTGTCGGTCAACAACAGACGCTACCAACCGATGTATCGTTGCATGTAGATTCATCATGCCATACTATCAATGCATGCGTCGGTAATGCATTCTGTTGGTATGAATAGGTAGCACAAATATAAATATTTGCCGTTATTATCTAGAGAAGATATCCACATATTCGAATCTTTTGAATCAAAACAAATTTTACTCGTTTCTCTATGACCCCGATTTTGTTTAATTCAAAGGTAATATAAGACATTTTTATGTCCTTATGAAGAGCACACATTTTTCAACAACAAAACTAACTTTAGTATCCCATTAATCTTTCGTGTGCTTAAATGAACTTTGCTCTTGTCATTGTTTTTTCTGTGCTTATGTATCAGAAATTTTATTATTTTAGAAGAACGCACATTTCTTGATGGTCATAAAAAACATGATAAATATTTCATGACTTTTCGACGATTTATTACTGGCCATGAAATTTTACTTGATCGACATACCAATAAAGTAAAACTTTAAAATTATTAAAATAAATAAATATTTCTTTTTGTTGCTGATTAATTTTTTAGGGCACAGCATTTTCGATTGAAGAACGACAAATATATCGTATTCATGGTTTACTACCACCAACAGTAACTACACTTGAACTTCAAGCTGATCGAATTATGGAAAATTTACGTAATATGTCTGATGATTTAGCACGATATATAGCATTAAGTGCTTTACAAGATCGTAATGAAAAATTATTTTATCGAGTAGTTATGGAATATACACAAGAAATTATGCCACTTGTTTATACACCAACTGTAGGTTTAGCTTGTCAAAAATATGGTTTAATTTTTTCAAAACCAAAGTAAATTTATTAAAGAATTTCATATAAATTTTTGTTTGCTCTTATTTATATAGAGGTTTGTTCATAACAATTTATGATAAAGGTCATATTGACGACGTATTGATGAATTGGCCAGCTCGTGATGTTCGAGTAAGTTTTTATGTAATGAACCTTATTCACGATTTTGTTTGTTAGTCATAAACATATACTAAAAAAGTGGTCACATTAACTTATCTGTTGCTAAGAACAGCTCTTCTTTCATCTCTCTTTCTAAATCGTCTTGATAACATATGTTATCAAGACAAATAAGAAAGAGAAATGAAAGACGAGGTTATCATTAGCAACAAAGAACCTGGTATGTCTACTTCGTTATACATGTTCATGGGCAACAAGCAAACCTTGAATAAGACTCATTAGTTGTTTTTATTTTACAAAAAAATCTATTTTTATTGTAGGTAATTGTTGTTACTGATGGTGAACGTATATTAGGTTTAGGTGATTTAGGTTGTAATGGCATGGGTATACCTGTTGGTAAATTAAGTTTATATACAGCATTAGCTGGTGTAGCACCTGAATATTGTTTACCAATAACACTTGATGTTGGTACAAATAATGAAGTAAGAAAAAAAAAATTGTTTTTTTTTTATTAATGACTTTTTTCTTTTTAAGTCTCTACTTAATGATAAATATTATTTGGGTTTACGACAAAAACGTGTTACTGGAAAAGAATATGATGAATTTATTGATGAATTTATGCAAGCTGTTGTTAAACAGTATAATAAATATTTTAGAATTTAGATATATTAACTTTAATTTATTATTTAGATTTGGACAAGAATGTTTAATTCAATTTGAAGATTTTGCTGTAAGTTAATAAATCAAAAAAACAAATTAATTTAATTCTAAATTTTAGAATCGTAATGCGTTTCGTTTACTTAAAAAATATCGTGATAATTACTGTACATTCAATGATGATATACAAGGTACAGCTAGTGTTGCTCTTGCTGGTATTCTTGCTTCACTTCGTATTACTAAACGAAAATTATCTGATAATGTATTTGTATTTTATGGTGCTGGTGAAGTAAGTCTAAACATTTAATTAATTATTTTTTAAATATTTTTCTGTTTTTTTTTTAAATAGGCATCCATTGGTATGTCGAATTTACTCGTTTTTGCAATGGAAAATGAAGGAATACCTGTTGAAGAAGCTCGAAAAAAGATCTATTTAGTTGATTCAAAAGGACTTGTTGTTAAGGTAAATAGAAATATTATTTCATATGTATGTATATATATATATAAAGAGAGTAATTCAAAATTAAGAATCGTCCAGCGGGTGGATTAAGTGAAGAAAAAAATCGATATGCACATGAACATGAACCAATTAATAAATTAGAAGATGTTATTAAAACTATTAAACCATCATTTCTTATTGGTATGTAGAAATTTTCAAATCAATATGTATGATATATTTTTTCTTTTTATTTTCTAGGTGCTTCTGGTCAAGGTTCTGCATTTACACGTGAAATACTTGAAATAATGATTTCATTCAATAAACGTCCAGTTATATTTGCCCTATCAAATCCGACATCAAAAGCTGAGTGTACTGCACGTGAAGCATATGAAGCAACAAAAGGTCAATGTGTATTTGCATCTGGTTCACCATTTCCTAAATATGTATATAATGATCAAACATATGTACCTGGTCAAGGAAATAATTCATATATATTTCCTGGTGTTGGTCTTTCTATTGTAACTTGCGGTATTCGACATGTACCTGATGAAATATTTTATATAGCAGCTAAAACACTTTCGGAACAAGTTACAAATGAAGATCTTTCAGTAGGCCTTGTTTATCCACCGATTGAAAAAATTCGTACAGTATCAAGAAAGATTGCTGCTGCAGTAGCAGAATATGCTTATGAACAAAAATTAGCTGCATTTTATCCAAAACCAATTGATTTAGAAAAATTTATTGAAGAAAAACAATATATAGCAGAATATGAATGTGCATTACCACCACGTTGGAGTTGGGAAAAAGAAAAATAATTTCAAAATTTCCATGTACTTTTTTTTTTGCTTTGCTCATTGGCTAAAATACACATTGTCTTTGTTTGTCTAAATATATCACATTTATGAAATAATAAAACTATGTAATAACATATAAAAAACTTTGTTGTCATTTATTATACTATAATAATATTTCTATCAAGTGTTGGAAGAATCTCTTGATAGAGATACTATTAATAATATTAATATGTCCTAACTATATACCAAAGGAGTACAGGTAATAAAAATATGATATTTAAGTGGTTTTCATAATCATAAATGTTATATGTTACAAACATATATAGAGTATGTTTAAAAAAGCCGAGCAAAATAAATTTCTTAAAATTGATCCATTGAACAAAAAAATTCATTGTAATTCGTAAATAAAGTTGATTTTCAATAGAAAATTTGTAAGCAGAGAAAAAAAGTGAATAGAGTGCGTAGGTCGATTTTAAAGTACACGGCTCAGTACACAATACTCCACTCGGTGGGTGAGTTATCACACACTCCTTAGCGGATTACTACTTTCAACGGCTACCGTCCCAAACGGTCATCGTGCGAGTATTGACTGCTGTTACAAGAACAGACGCCGTCCCTCACTCTACGATGTAACGACCATAAAGCATGCCATTCACCATCAAACATTCATGATTAACTTCTATTTAAAGGTACATACAATTGTGATTGAGTAATAACAAAACACAAAATATTATCTGTAAGAAAGTAAGAAGTAATGATTCATTCTCTCAGTAAAGGAATAAATAGTCGTTGTGTGAATTGAAAAAAAAAGTAAATATTGATTTTAAATTTATCCACTATTTCTATTCTATTGAACTTTTATTGTTAAGTCTTTTAAGGTTTCTGCCCCTTTAAAAATCGATCTTGGACCAGATATATTCAAATTGCATGAGACCTTCAGGATATGTTGAAACTATAGTGGAGAGGCTCTGGTAAAATTTTCAGTCCTATACCATGACATTTTCGAGAGATATTCAATAAACAAGGATAAAAAATAGTTTATTTGACAATACAAAATTCTCTATGGATCTTCATTGTATATACTTAATCTTTTTTCTTCGTTTGAAAGAGCATACCAGAGTGCAACATATGACAGAGCCCTTTTTTTTTAAATTCTTAATTTTTAAGGAGAGAAAAATTCAATGTCTCGAAAAACTCGAAAAACATCCCTCGAATCATAAAAGTTTTTTTTATATAATAGTAACAAAGTTCAATTCATAAAAGAAATTGTGTCATGCTCTCCGTCTTGACATTCCCTTTTAAACAAAAAAACTGAAATATATAGAATGAAGATCCATAGAGAATTCTAGATCACGCGATGAAAAAAGCATGAACAAAGAAAATGGGGAAAAGTTTTCCCGTTTTTTTTTGCCAAAAGTAAATTTTTCAAGCAGAAAATTTTTGGAAAAAAACAAGATGCAAAATAAAAAATTATATCGTTTATGAAAGAAAGATCAGAACTCAGACTATTTTTCTTATGCATTTATCTAAATTTTCATTTTTTTTGACGAAAATTAGCTTTTTTTGAGAGGTGAGAAGTTTAAATAAAAATCAATTATAATCATATTGATTATATATAGTAATATTTAGCTTTAATCTTTATTTAATTTTAATCATTTAGAATACTAATTTTTAATAAGGTGTAGAGAAGTAATATAACAACTCAAAAGTAAAAGTCAAAAGAAAAACAAACGAATGTTCTTCACAACAACAATTATCTTTCAACACTAGCAAAGAACAAAAAGATAAGAACAGTCAACGATAATAACAAGTTATTAGTTTACTTGTAATAGTCGTAATTTTATCCCATTGTAGATTGTCTAACATGTCGAAGTCATATGCAGTAATTGTTGGTGATATCGGCGGTACTAATGCAAGATTACAATTACTATGGTACAGTCGTGATCCACATGTCTTAATACCATCCATTGTAAATGTAACTCGACAAACTTATCGAACAAATACATTTACCGGTCTTACTGCAATATTACAACGTTTTCTAAATGATATACAAAATGAACAACATCAAGAAGATGTTTTTAATGCTATAAAAAATAAGAAGTACGAGTGTATGATTTGAAAACAAAAAAAACCTTCAATATTCTTTGTTTATCTAGAATTCAAGTAGTTTTAGCTGTATGTGGTCCTATTTGGAATAATCGTCGAACCAATGATACAAATAATGTACGTATGGAACCTGATGGTTCTAGATGGCCGCTACAACAAGCAGATATAATTGAGAATGATCTTAAACTTAATCGAAATTCTTTAGTATTTTTAAATGATTTTGAAGCTATTGGTTATTGTCTTGCTGCACAAGTTGACTCTCAAGCAAATGAACTATGTAAATGCACTGAAGCTTATACACTTCATCAAGTTTCTCTTGAAAATAATTCTGATACAAATACACCAATAGCTTGTTTGGGTGCAGGTACTGGTCTTGGTGCATGTTTTCTTTTACCGGATGGTTCAGGTCGATATCAAGTTTATCCATCAGAAGCAGGTATGACTGATACATTTAGTCCACGATCAGAAGAAGAATGGTTATTAGTTAATTATTTACGTCGTAATCAATCATTTATTGAAATTGAACAACTTGTATCAGGTCCAGCATTTGTTACAATGTTACAATTTTATTCTGAATATTTAAATCAATCTTTAACATCAAAACTTAATCATGATCTTCAACAAGTTTCACAAGATGATGCTCCTGTAGTTATTTCTCAACATGCTCGTGATTATAATGATTCATTATGTCTTCGAGTTGTTGATACATTTCTTGATATCTTTGGTCGAGTATTAGGTACAGCAGCACAAACATTTTTACCTTATCGTGGTTTATATATAACTGGTGGTATTTTACCTAAACTTGCATGGCGATGGCAAAATAATTTCAAAAATCTTTTACTTAAATCTTACTTAGATCAAGGACCAAAAATGAGTGAAATAGTTGCTCGTGTTCCACTTTTTTTAATTAATGATGATGATTTGGGTATGAAAGGATGTCTTTACTATATGACCATCCATGATGATTAACATTAGCAATTACATATACAAAAGATTAAATAACTAAAAACAAAACAAATATTGCGTTTTGATCAAAGAAAAAAAGTTTTCGTGTAATAAATATAATGAAGAAAAATAGTATTCAGAATAGCTGTAAAGATTTATTTTATATAAAGAGTAAAATAAATAAAAGAAAAATATTCAATTTTTTGTAATTTTCTAATTATTTCAAGTTGATTACATCAATAAGAATTCAATTGTTCGAGGCAATTCCGATAAGATCGTAAAATTTTCTATTTCATTCTGATTAATAACTCAAGTGTCTATTGTTTTCTTTTCCAATTAAAATAACTCATTCTATATACGTAAGTTTAATATTAATCTTTTCACTTGGGAATACTTGTAAGATTAATAACAACATAAAATCAATTGATTATGTGCGTCAGAGAGACTATGACTGGTATACATTTATAAATTAACAGAAATAATATTGATCATAATTGATTTCTCTTAGGAATTAAACAAACCTTGTTCTTACTTATATTTTTCATTTCATACATTCATTCACTAGGATATCGATGATGTCGATCATACTGGTTTTGTCAAAAATTTTTATCGTAGCTATTGCTATTACGAATGCAAATGGTCAACATTTGATCAAATTTAATGAAGAAACTTTAAATAAATTACGATTAACACCTTCACTTCTCTCAACATCGGTGTCTTACATTGATTTTGAAATATTAAATGAACGTCAATGTGCTATTGAATGTGTTAAAGATCAATCAATATGTACAGGTTTTTCCTATGATGCAACAAATAAAATGTGTTCTTTATTTGATGATTTAACTAAAATTGTTGATAACGATATAACTACTTTAGTAAGTATAAATTGAATGAATAATTATTGAAATAATTCTATTTATTTATTTATTTATTTATTTAGAGACAAGAACTTAAACCAAATGTTTGTGACAACGTTAAATGTAAACCAGATGCCATATGTATTAGTTATAATCGTGAAGGAAAACAAGTACCAAGTTGTGTTTGTTTAAATGGACAACCAACACCGGACGATTGTGATAAAATAGGTTAGAATTTTTTTTTAATAGAGAAATTATTAATATCATTTTTTTTTAAAAATCAATCGTTTGTTAGAAATTGGTATATGGACTGATTATAATGATTGGTCGGGATGTAGTGTAACATGTGGTGAAGGTTATCAATTTCGTAAACGTGAATGTTTATCATCTAATGATAAAACTCAAAAGATTCCAAGTGATAATTGTATTGGTACAAATATTGAAATACAACCATGCAATGTAACAACTTGTCCAAGTAGAGATCTATTTTGATTTTCTAATAGAATTTTTTTTTTGACTAATTTTTATTTTTGTAAGCCTATGGTCCATGGACACCATGGACACCATGTTCAAAATTTTGTGGTATTGGTATAAAACAACGTAATCGTTCATGTACTCCACCTGGTTCAAATTGTGGGAATTATACACATGAACAAAGAGCCTGTGGTGTTGCCAATTGCCAACGTGTTGCTGGTAAAAATTTTTTTTCAATAAACAAAACATTTAAAAAAAACTTCTATGATTATCTGTTGCATTTAGGTATTAAAGAAACTGAATCAGATCAATATCCATTAAAAGGTTATTTAGCTATTCGAGAAGGTGATATTTTATGTGTACCACAAAATAATACTGAAATAGCAAAGTATATGGCTGATTTAGTAAGATATAAATATTCTAAAGAGTGATCCAAAAGTTTCGATTCCTCTCTGTAAATTGATGTTATTTATACGAATACATATGTAGATAGTTGATTGAAATATATAATTTTGTAGAGAAAGATTAAAGCTATAATATGAAAAGAAAATAGTTCGAATTCCATTCAGATCATAAAAAGTTATGATTCCTTTATTAAACATGACTAAGCATTGACATCTTACATTTGTCAGCAAAAATGAAAATATTCTTGTAATGTTGGAATGATTAGAGTTGAGTAAAATATATTAAATTCTAGACATTTTTATATGATTCGATACAAGAATATGAATATCAAAAAATCTTCTGATCATGCTTCCAATACAAAATGTGAAAGAAATCAAGCAGACTAATAAAAATCTCACATACGTTGTACGAGAGTGTATGCTTAATTTTCAATAACATTAGTTGATCGATTAATAATTGATGTTTCGAGATGTAGTGTGACATTCTGAAGCAGAAAATAATCTTTCAGAACTACATGAATAGACGGAACAGTAGATTAACTCAAATTATTAAAAGTTTAGTTTACTTACTCTAATGCTGGATACATAAAATTTTTATTAATCTTTCTGATTTCTTCAACGTTTTTTTATTGGAAATAAGATCAGAATTTTTGTGATATTCATATTCTCGTAGAGCTTATCGAACCATATAAAAATCTCTAGAAAACACAGAATGTCACAGGATGATTTTTTTCTCATCCTGCCTTACATTCTGCTTGCACGATGATCTTTTCATGGCATTTTTAACAAGGACAAAAACTTGTATGAATATGAGGTACGATATCAAATATCATATAAGTACTATTTATATAAAAATCATTTACGATAATCATTTTAATAAATTTTATCAAATGTATTTCAGTAGAAATGAAATGAAAAAAAAAAGAACTTGATATCTATAAAGCGAATAAAACAATAAGAGAACAAAGATAAGGATACAGAATTCACAATATAATCAATATAAACAGATAACAACGAACAAGGATAAGTTTTCTTTTTTGCTGCTTGTTCTTGAATTTCTCCTATGCACGAATAAATAAATTTTATAATTTTGACCTGACAATGAACATGTTCGTCTTTGAGTAAATGTCAATCCGGCTGAGCTAAATAATCTTTCCATCGACGCACTAGTCGCTGGTATAGCATGTACTCTTCTGACTACGATTGATAATAATGGAAAATCATCACAAGTTTTACTACTAGACCAGAACTTCATTGGATGACGATCAATTAGGTGACTTGGGTGTCCTATCAGATCCACGTCCTGTGACGTTGTCTGCTAGAAAACAATAGTTTGCTCTAGGCATTATAAGCAAATTTTATTTTTGCAAAAAATGTAAAATGTTTATTCATGATCAATAAACCAATCATAACTTTTCATAACGTCAATGCAATTCAAACTATTCTCTTTTCATATTATAGCTTTAATCTTTCTCTAAAAAAACTGTATATTTCAGTTAACTATCTATACATGTATTCATATAGGTAATATTAATTTACAGACAGTGATTGAAACTTTTAGGCCACCCTTTATATGTAAAAAACAAAGTAATTTTTTTTTTCTTGTCAAGGTTTGCAAATCAATCGGTCTTGCGCGTGGTGCACAATATGGTAAATAGAAAATAATGCTGTCCATCTTTTTTTTGTTTTATTTTCATTTAGCTATTTTAAATCCTATTCGATATAATTCTACTTGTTATCCTGGTATATTATGTGATGGAACTGAAAAAGATTTTTATGAATGTAAATATGATCGAACACAAACATCAAATAATGCTAGTGATTTATTTGCTATTATTGCAAGATGTATAGGTAAGATATTCTTTTCTTTTTCTTTTTTTGTTGTTTTAATCAATAGACAAAAAAAACATTTCTTATTGAAGTCGATGGTGGTTTTTCACCATGGTCTGATTGGTCACCATGTTCAAAAACTTGTGATACTGGTCAAACAAAACGTTTTCGAACTTGTACTGATCCATCACCATCAATACCTGAACCTCAAACTATTATTGATAATTTTCCATTAGCTGGAATGAATTGTACTGGTGATTATACACAAGTTAAAACTTGTAATGAACAATCATGTTAATCACATTTATTTTATAAATGAACTGACAAACATTCAAAAAAAAAAAGTTGAAAAGAATTTTTCACATATATTATATTTATTTGAACACAAAAAAAGAAAGAATGAAATTTAGTCTTTTATTGTTTTCTTTTAATATCTACATCGATGTTGAGTTGACTATCGAAATTGTTCATTAATTGTCCATACACGATTATTCATGATTATCCGTTGACGTCTATAAATAGCGAATGAACAACGAAATGATGCATTTGTTGATGCATATATTAAAGGAAAAATTAAAGATTTAAGTATAAGTATATAATAAGTTATTTGTAAAGCAAGTCGAATTTCAGATGACTGAAGAAAAATGATAAGAATACGAATTGAAATCCAAGGAAGATAAAGAAAAATAAATGTTATGCCTAATAAAAAAATATGCCATGTCATTTGTCGTTGTTCAACATATATACTTCTTTCAGCTAATTTTAATCTTCTTGATCGTAGATGACATAAATTTTGTAGAAGATAGATTAAACCTATAAAAATAAATATTAATGGTAATGAATAAATAATTCCTATTTCTGTATAAGCCATCCATAGTGGATGATAAATTGATGTTATATAAGGTGTACAATATGATGTTGTATTTGATGTTATTGATAAAAGATAATGTGAATAATTTGTCATAAATGGAATACCATAAAAAAGAAATAAAATAATCCATGATATTAATAATAATAATAGAAGATAATGACGACGAATCGTTGGTGATGGTTGTTTTAAACTATATAAACGAGTATATATCATAAAAAGAATTGAATATATAACAGCTGCTAAAGCACATGATTCACCAATTTTTAATGCAGTACATAATTTTTGTGTTGACGGATTTCCGTAAGCATTTATAAAACGCATAGGAAGAACAAAACCACCGATAAACAAATCAATAAATGCCATACCTAATATAAATATATTTGACCAATGTTTTCTATCAGCATGTCCAATAAACGTGAGAAATATACAGATCTAAATTTTTTATCAAAAGAAAAGAAAACCTATAGTATAATTTAAACTTACATGTCCAATAACAATACCAATAATGTATACTAATAAAGTAAGTTTTTCAAGTGTTGATGATGAATCTTGATATTCTACCATTATCTTTCTCTCTTTTCTAATGTGAATAATAAGACAAAAAAAATTTAATATCGTTTTTATGTGAATGATATAGAATAAGAGCAAGACAAAAAATTTCTAATACATTAAAAAAGAGAGAAAGAGAGAGAGAGAGAGAGATATCAAATTAATTTCTCATTTTTGTAAAAGTAAACGGATATGCGTGTTTTCCTAAATGGTTCATTTAGTAAAATTATTGAATCAAATGTCGTATTCTGCTGTTTAAAGACTATAAGAACTTTTAAAATGAAAATTTTCAATTTCTATTTGAGAAGAGATATACTTCTAGAGCAGTATATACTTAACACAAGAATGCATAATATTCATACATTCGCAACATAATTATAATGTTCTATTTCTTTTCTTTCAATCGAAATAACATTAATTGAAGAAAAAAATAAGTAATGAGATGTGTCTGTCATTTTTAATAAACATATCTTTTCATTTTCTTATGTTATACTTCATTCCAATACATAAAAGATATTCAAATTTATAAGAATGAAATATTTACATGAAAAACTTTAGAACCATTTTAGTTGTAATACAACCTTGTTGTTCAGTTTTTAACGTATTTATGGTTTCTATATGAAAAGTCGACTTTTACTATGAAAATAAACATAAATACGGGAAGAAGTATTTCACAAAGATCTAATATCATTTAAATAAAAGTAAAAACTATTCAATACATTATGACTTTACCGTGAACATGAGCATTCCTCATATTTATTTTGATTTATGACTAGAAGGTATAAAACTAAATGGATCTAAGACATGCTGAAATAGAAAATATGTTTTTTGACATATGAATAAATCGAGTTGTTAACGATATAGTATAAGATCAAATATATAGTGCAGAAAACAAAGTAGTACTAGACTAATTTCTGCATATAGTTTTTAAGGAGCTCACTCCTCAAACAAATCGATCTCGATCCAGATACATTTAAATCACATGAAACCCTATATCATGATGCTTTCGAGAGATATTCAAAAAATAATGGTAATAAATAGTTCATTCGACAATACAAAATCTTGTGTGCGCCTTCATTCTATATACTTAATCGTTTTTCTCGGTTTGAAAGAGCATGTCAGGGTACAGGACATCACAGAGTCCTTTTTTTAAATTCTTACTTTTTAAGGGAAGAAAAGTTCAATGTCTTGAAAAACGCTCAAAAAAATGTCGCTCTAATTGTAAAAATACTCTTTTATATAATAGTAAAAATGGTTAATACAAAAAAAAAACTCTCTCATGCTCTTTCAAACAAAAAAAATATCAATATATTGAATGAAGATTCACAGAGAATTTTGAGTTGAGCGATCAAAAAAAATATAAACACATAAGAAAAGTGTAAATTTTGTATTTTTATTGAATGTAAGTTCAATCTTTATTTCAATAAGTAAACAATCAAAGAACAGAAGAGCAGTGTTATGTCCGACATTAACGTTGATGTGTATAACGTATTTATTAAGATATTACTTAAGTTTTTCTTACCAGTTATATTTTTGTTGAATCAAAAAAACAACAATCTCCTCTCGCAAACTCAAATATCTATATATATATAGTCACACATTACTAACTGCGCAATAAACTTCAGTTCAATGTCAAGAAAAACGTTTTCTTTACTTTTACGAGAAAAGAAAAAAAGAATAACCACAGAGATTGAAGAAAACGAACAAGAGTTGTTAGATCAAAGAAAAGAACGAGAGCATAGAAAGAAGAAACAAACAAATACACTAACGAGGGAACGGATCCAACTGATCCACGCCGATTTTGCTCTTATCTTGCCCATATGTAGAGGTCATCATGCTAAGAAAAAATCTAAGAGGATATGGACCCATGTTGCGATTTGACTGAGATATTCAAGTTTTACTCAAATGTCCTTGCGCAGGACCCTGATTTTTCAGCAATATCATATTTTGGAATTCTGACTCGAAATTTTGCCCACATGAAGCTCCCAGCTAGACTAGCTTGTGGAAAAAATTTCAGAATTTTTGAACATAGTATCACTGAGATATAGATTTTCCAAAATATAGGTGCCTTTCCATAGATACTTTATAAAACATGAATATTTTGGAAAATCCATATCTCAGCGATACCATGTTCAAAAATTCTGAAATTTTTTCCACAAGCTAGTCTAGCGGAGGGCTTCATGTGGGCAAAACTTTGGGTCAAAGTTCCAAAACATGATATTGCTGAAAAATCAGGGTCCTGCGCAAGGACATTTGAGTAAAACTTGAATATCTCAGTCAAATCGCAACATGGGTCCATATCCTCTTAGATTTTTTCTTAGCATGATGACCCCTGCATATGAGCAAAATCGGCGTGGATCAGTTGGATCGGTTCCCTTGTAAGTGAAAGATCTAACAGAACAAAAGAAAAGACAGATACTGTAAATCACATATGTATGAAACAAAAAAAAAGTGAACGAACATATATAGGTAATATATATAACATTTTTTTCTCATGGCACATCTAACATAAGTGCCATACAACCTCTCCCACACAACAAGATGAACTTCCTCGTTTATTTGAAAAACAAACAAAAAAAAATATAGAAACGTAATCGTCAGTTTACTATTCAATGTTCCGATATTGCCACTACCATTCTCATTGAATTGCAAGGCGAATACATATTGTGCTTTGGTCTAGTTTGAGATCGTTGCTATTTAAGGTACTGTCAAAGTTCGAAACCATTCCCAATAATTTAATTCATGTGGAATTAAATTGAACCAGAGTAATTTGCTATAATTTAGACATAGAAATGTGTTGGTTAAACCATTGCACTAGGACATAGAAACAATTTTTCTGAAGATGTTCTTAACGATATTTTCAATTAATTGATCTTGTTTGATATATGAAAATAATAAAGACAGGAGATTGTCAACATTTTTATAATGTTGTATGATAGAAGTAGTTGGTATTGCATCATTGCCATTGATCGCTTTGTTCAATATTTTCCCATTTTGCAATGATACAGCGATGAAATCATCTAGATTTTCGACGTCATTTTGTTCTTCTTCTGGGGCTAATTCTTGTGGCTTTTCTTCTAAAACTACTTCTTCTGTTTCTTCTTGTTGTTCTCAAACTAATTTTTTTGTTTCGATTTTATCGTGTGATTCGATCACGACATTTGGACATTAAACCTACGTCTTATTAGATGATACATATGCTGTTCTAATGGATTGTACAAAATTTGGCCAGGCATCTAATACTACCATATATTGTTAATGATCCATTTTCTTGCATCACCGATCAAATATGTATGAGTAATACGTACTTTTTGATCATCATTTAATCTTGCAAAATTCAATCCAATCGTAATTTCTTAAAGCCATTCATTTATATCTTCGTTTCGTTGACCACCAAATAAGGGTAATTTTTCCAACGAATTTAATAATATTGTCATCTGTCATCAATAATTAGATAGGATAGTATAAAATATTTCTTGATTAGATTCGTCTTGTCTTTTCACTTGTTGACTCGTTTGGGCCCATACACACATACAACACTGGCTAGTGCACCGATATATTATTTTTTTTTAAAGTTTTTTTCTTATGACACATCTAACATAAGTGCTATAACAAACAGATCATTAACATTAACCATAATACAAAACTAACAACAATAATCACAAGCGTAATAGAAATATTACTACGTAACAAAGATAAAAAACATCAAGGTCAATATCAATTTTTGTTTGACCTTGCGAGAACAGAAACGAATATAGAGAAGTTAGACGAAAGAAAACGAAAGAACGAACAATTTTCAAATGTTGAGAAGAACGAAAGAAACATATATACAGAAAGAGAACGAGAAAACAAACGAACATATATAGATATTCTTTTTTTTTTTAGTAACAACATATACTTACAAAGTGAAAAGGATATCTCACTTTTTCTGAAAAAGCTATATTTTTTGAAGCAGAAAATGAGGAGAATTTTTGAAAAAAAAACGACGTGTCAAACAAAAAAAAACCATGTCATTTATGAAAGATCAGAACTCAGCCTATCTTTCCTATGTATTTATCTTAATTTTCTTTTTTTTTTTGACGAAAATTGACTTTTTTGAGGTGGACTTAAATGTCCATTGTACAAGACTATGACACAGATAGCACAACATAAAATAAAGATCTAAGAAATTATGCTATCAAATACACTAACCGAACAATAAAATATATTTGATACGTTGAATCTTCTTTATTAAAACAATAGTCATGAAACCCTGTTATTTTTATTTGCATACATAATCAACTGTATATTTTATTTCAAAACACTGATGATCGATAGAAATTCGATATTCGTATTGTGTCAATATGGGACTTACTACTTGCTTCTATTTTATATTAACAAACACTATAAATGTTAATGATGGTCTATAACATGAAGAAGATCTCATTTGTATCATTTTATGCATCATAACACATATCGACAACCATGTTGTCAACTATTCTTGCGGAAATATGCTTGCTTGTTAAAATTATGAAAATTAAAAATATATGTCAATAATTTCCTTGGAGTATAATTGATTCTTAAAAGCTTCGTTATGTAGGAATGAAGAAATAGTAACTTCTTTCGTTCACATGTTATATGTAACGACATCTCTCCATACCAATCACGTTTCTAAAGAGAGGCTATTGCTTAGTTAAATTTAATGTAAAATTGATGCTGATGGTTATCGATAATTATTCTAACAAATCCTTCTAATACTTTAACACCATAAATGGATATTCAATACGTTTATACTAAAAAACGTGCGGAATTTGGTCGACAAGTTCATTTTACTGATCGACCAGTTGAAATAGTTGCTGATATTCAACCAAATCCTGAATTAATTCAAGAATATGTTGCTCGTAATCCAGTTGACATAGGAGTACAAAATGTCCGTGAATTTTCTGAACATTGGGTATGAACTTTTTCAAAACAAACTTTCTTGTTTTTCTTTTTATAAGAAAATCTTTTTAAAAAAAAAATTCAGGTAAATACAGTTCGATTTGAAACAGAAAATCGAGGAATTAATCATGTTGAAGGTGGTTGGCCTAAAGATGTTAATTCACTTGAACCTGATCAAACATCACGTTTTCGAAAAAAAACTGAAAAAGAAGATGGTTATGGACGTGCTATTCTATCATTAGGACATGTATAAATCTTTCTTTTTTTTGTTTTTGATTTAAAGAACAAAAATTCCATTGATTACTTCTTTTTTTAGTCAATTGAACATACAATCAAACAAAATAATGCTATTGATATTTATGAAAATTATTTTCAAAATTTAGAACCAGATGTTGTTGAAGAAGCGCCTTATGCTAAAACTATAAATATCTATCGGTATAATGAATTGAATTTCTCTTTGTTTTTGTTTAATATAAGAAATCAAATTTTAGTGATCCTCATAGTACTCAACGTACAGCTAATCATATCTCATGGTATGCTGATGGACCACGAAAAATAGCTGTTTCATATTGTAATTTGGAATTTCAATCAGCAACCAGTGATTCATTTATTGATTCATATATTTGGGATATTGGTATTTTATTCAATTCTTCTTTTAAAAAATTTTTTTTTTATTTGTATTCGAATTTCTACTAGAAAATCCGACTAAACCTGAACTTTATCTCAAACCAATATCGCCACTTGTTTGTATTGAATTTAATCCTAAAGATACACATCAACTTGCTGGTGGTTGTTATAATGGTCAAGTTTGTAAGTTTGACATATTCAAACTTGATTAATAGATAAAATATTTTTTGTTTTTTTTTTTTGAATAGGTATATTTGATACACGAAAAGGTAGTACAGCTGTTGAACAATCGCTTATTGAAAATAGTCATCGCGATCCAGCTTATAAAGTCATTTGGTTACAATCGAAATCTGGTACTGAATTCTTTTCGGCTTCAACTGATGGCAAAGTGAAATAACATATTTTGTTTTTTTTTTTTTTTTGCAAAAACAAAACCTTCTAAATGAATAATTCTCGATTTAGGTTCTTTGGTGGGATACTAGGAAATTATCTGAACCAGTTGAAACTTTAATATTAGATATTGAAAAGAAAGGTCGAATAGAAAATGCACTTGGTGCTATGTCACTTGAATATGAACCAACTATGGTAAATTTTATTTTTATTTTGTTAAATTTAGATTTAAAATTAAATTTTTATAGCCAACAAAATTTATGGTTGGTACTGAACAAGGTCGTATTATATCATGTAATCGTAAAGGAAAAAATGATGCAGAAAAAATTGGTAGTGTATTTCCAGGACATTGGGGTCCAGTTTATGCACTACAACGTCATCCAAATTTTACTAAAAACTTTTTATCAGTTGGAGATTGGACTGTACGTATTTGGTCAGAAGAATTACGAGATGATTGTATTATGTGGACAAAGTAATTTAAATAAGAATTTTCTAATACAAAACAATAAATTATCTTAATAATTTTTCTAGACCAAGTATGCATACAATTACTGATGCTCAATGGTCACCAACACGATCATCTATTTTTTATACAACTAAAATGGATGGTAATAAAAAAAATAAAATAAACAATAATATTTTATTTTGACATTAAAAACAAAAATGATTTCTATTTTATCTTAAGGTACATTGGATGTTTGGGATATATTATTTAAACAAAATGAACCAACTTTATCAATGCAAGTTGTTGATGAACCACTTCATTGTTTACGTGTACAAGAATCACAAGGTCGTCTTATTGCATGTGGATCACAAAATGGTACAGTAACATTAGTTGAAGTATCTGATAATTTATGTACACAAGGAAAAAGTGAAAAGACTTTAGTTAGTGGAGTAAGTTTTATATAATATAAATGTTTCGAATTTTTATTTTTTTATAAAAATAAATTAGATGTTTGATCGTGAAACACGACGTGCGAAAATACTTGAAGCACGTGGAAGAGCTAAACGTGATGCAAGAACAAAATCAGCACAAGGCGAAGTAAGATTGTTTAAAATTTTGTCTTTTCTTTAATCTTTTCTTTTCTTTTTTTTTTTGTTATTTAAAAGAAAGGTGAAAAACCAACAACTGAAGGTGGAACAGGTGAATCGGATTTGAAAGAAGCTGATCCAATTGATAAAGCTGAAAAAGATTTTTGGAAAATAATTGAAGAAGAAAAACGAAGACGAGATCGAAAATTTGTTGCAGTTAGTTTTTATTTAATTTTTTTTTTTGTTCTTTTTTAATGTATAATTTTTTTTTTTGTAGGATGATGAAAAAGCAGCTGGGGAAAGTGGAGCAGTAACTGA